TTTTTTTTTTTTTTTTTTTTTTCCTGCCGCATCAGCGATCAGCACACCGCACGGCGCATGGCGCACTTTACATATGCGCCGCAAGTATGGTTGACATTCCTTCTCTACTGAAGGTATATCTTTGTCGCTGTGCTATCTTTGTGCAGAACCCGATGCCATGGATGAAAGCTGGACTGTCCATTTGCACGCGGTCTCACCATTTGTGTAATGAGAGAGTTGGCAAGTTTTCTGCAGCATCAGTTTGTTGTTCCAGCCAGAAGGCGAGGTACTTTCTACAGGATCTGGCGAGTTCATTGAACAATTCAACGGAACGGACGGAAAACGACCCTTGCTGCGGTTGCTGCGTGGGGGAGAATTGAAGAGGGAGCTGCAAGGAGTTCACAAGGGACCTGAATGTGATGTGGAATGAGCATTAGGCACCCACGGTTTCCATCTCTCGATTTACACCTGTCATCCTTGCGCAGGGGCGCTAATCTTTCTCTCTATGGTTGCAATTGTATTGCACGTTCCGAATTTACATGCAGTTCCTTTTGTTTTGGGTCAAACAATTTTTAACTCCTTTGGTGCTGGGGAGCAGTATTCTGGTTTCATTGCACCAGCGAATGAGAGAAGCTTGATTGACACTGCGGGGTGATTGGACACAGGTGCACTCGTCCTTTCACTGTCGCTGAGGGATCCTTCACTGCTCAATGCCTCGGTATCAGTCAATTCAGTTTATATCAGCAATCTATTAAAGCTATCGTCAAGGCCTGAGTGGCTTTTCTGATGCCGGGTGCAAGATTCTGGTCCCTTTACTTGCACATCTATCTCCCTGGTACTGTCTGGATTTCTACCTGTCTGGGTGTTTGAACCTGTCAATATTTTTACATTGACCCTACTATTTGAAAGATGGATGGTCTACCCGTCGGAAAACAATCTCATCTCTCTCTTTTCCAGTGGAGGTGTCGCTGTAGTCATTTCCCCCATCTTCTCCTCCATCCTATCATGTCCCCTGGCCTGGAGTTTGATGTCCGGAACTACCTTATACAATTCAGTGTGGCTGTACTGGAGAGTGTGCAATGGAAGACAGAGTCGGACCACAGGACTCGCTTGGTGTGGCTAATTAAAAGTTATTATCAGGGTAGTCACGCCGACGGTCGGCGGCCCCGGACCTGTCGGCTGCTGACCAGCCGACGGTAGGCACCGTCTGAGTCTACCGGTCGGCAACCGGTTATTTATTTATTTTCAAGTCCAGAACCCCAAATAACCCCATCCACACCCCCATAGCCCCCCCCCAACATCCCCATACACCCTCCAACATCCCAATACCGCTCCCTAAGACCCTCATACCCCCCCCCTTTACCCCCTACAGCCCCCTATAAACCCCCATACCTCCCCCTATAACCCCCCATACCTCCCCCTATAACCTCCACCACCCCCGAAAAACATTATTGCGGATTTGGGCTGCTCTCCTCAAGCCGCACACGACCATGTCATCAGAAAAAAATAAATAAAAAAATTAGGCAGTCTGCTGACCGCTGACGGGTCCGCCTATGGGTCGGCCCGACTGTTAGGCGTAGGCGGTAGGCATAGGCGGTAGGCTCCAAGACAACCGTGGTTATTATCCTATTACACTCGCAGAGTCGCAGGTCAATAGCCTGGAAGGACTCTAGGTCAGTCTGTTGGCGAAGCTGTACCGAGAGCGAAAACTGAAAAGGACGGCACCATTTCAGTTTACCTTATCATGCTTCGCTAACCATGTAGCCCAGGAGTATGTTTTTCAACTTTTTCTTAGGATTGTGATTCTGGGTGCATTGCTTTTACATAGCCCAGGAGTATGCTTGTCTGTGATTTTGAGTGCATTGCTCTTATGAAGTTTTGTCTTCTTCAAAGTTATTTTATTATTTTTTTCCCCTGTTGTGCTTCTTACTGCTGGCTGCACTGAATCACATGTTTGCTGTAGGTCCTTTGTATCTTCTGTTGATAAGCATTTTCTTTGTTATTGTTCACACCTTCTCAACTATATTGCTCCCTCTTGCAATACAAATTAGTGCTGCAGCAGTTCAGTCATTTATGTCTGTCAGAGAAAGTTACACCACATCCTTGCAGCTGGTCAGTATTGTCAATACGACGATGAATGCGTTAAAACAAAAAAAAAAAGGTATTGTCGAGGTTTCCAAGATGCGACTGATGCACATCGTCTGAAAATTGCTGCGGTGGGCTCGACAGGCAGTTAGTTACGGACGGGTGAGTTGTGGTTGTTGTGCGGTTTGTTGCTCTGTGTGAGCATGCAGTTTGGTTATTGTGTGGCTCCCAACAGTTGACAGGCAGTCAGTTACATGCAGCCATGCGTCATAGAGTCTCTGACGCGAGAATTGTGGTGGTGGCGTGGTTGTTGCTCTGTGTGAGCTTGCAGGTTGGCTATGGTGTGGCTGCCAACAGTTGTCGTTGTGTTGGTGTTCGCCTTGAAGACAAGTGGCACTTGGGGGATGTACAATTTGCCACCGCATTGTTGGAGTGTTGCAGCAGTGATTTCGACGCTGCCATTCTTAAGTGCAGCGCACTACATCAACTGGAATGCTACGCCTGCGGATTCTTCCTAGCAGCTTTCTGCAGTCTAAGGATACACATCATGTATGCTATGGTCTATCTTGTCTCCTTTCTTGATGTACACAGCGTGGGATGGCTTTTCAGGACAGATTCAGGGACACTGGGTGTCTCTCACATTTGTATATTTTATCAATATTCCGTAAACCTTAGATCACACAATTTTATATCAATAAACAGATTTTTCACCGTGCCAGCAGCCATCCAGCCCTCATTGGGTACAGTCAGTGGCGTGAGGGGACGGAATGAGTTGGAGGGAGCAAAAGCAGCGGGGTGTGCGCTCCCCTTGGCTGTTACATGGGTCCTCCAGCTGGGGGTCCTGTAATCTGGTATTACCAGCCTTTGATGAAGACAGGCAAAGGGTTATACTCACACTAGCTCTATCTCAAATGTATCTAACCGTGTTTATGGCCGGACATGAATGCGTCTGGTCGCAATACGTCCATAAACGAGTTTAAAAAAAAGTCCTATTGTGCCAGTGGGCTCCCTTGGCTGTTATCACCACCCTTTCATGAAGACAACCTCAGCGACGCAGATCCAGCTTTTGTTTTGAAAAAGTGCGGCGACTTTGAGATACCCTCATGGAACTGGCCTGCCCGAGGTAATTCTGAAATTTCATTCACCTGGTTCCGTCTGGATTCGAACTCAGGTCTGCATTTCAACAGTGAATGGGTGTACCAACCGAGCTAGGCCCGTGAATTGATCCAGATCCAGCTAATCGGTCCAGCTAATCGGTTCACAGCTAATCGGTCCAGTTAATTGGTTCAGCTAATGGGTCCACATCCAATCGGTCCACAGCTAATCGGTCCACAGCTAATCGGAGTGAGCTAACATCTTGTCATGTCAATGGCTAACCTGTGGCACTGCTCTGGGTTCAGAACAGTCGGATGTGTTCGTGCACATGCCTTTGCAGGTGTTAGGCTGGCATTTCTGCAGTGTTCCAGTATACGAGCATACGAGGATTGTATACACTATTTGAGAGGAAAACCAAGACCGATGTTGCTGCAGTGGCCAGCTCCCTAGTTCAATCCTTGTTGACATTCGATGTGGGCAGAAATGTGGTTGATTGCCGCCATAACTTTTTTTCCTGCCATGTGAAGCTGGATTGCTACATTCTATGGTGCTGTATATATCATGATGCGGGCTACATGCAGGTGAGTCGTTTGAGTTTTGGAAATTGAGACGATCGATCGGTTTTTGATCATGATCTGGGCTATACATGTGGGTGAGTCATTGAGTTTTGGAAATTGAGACGACCGATCGGTTTTTCATCTTGTTTCTTCATATGTATGCGACGGATATTTTGAAAGGTACACATCACCAGCATAGGCGGGAAGTCAGCATGCATGTCGGTGGAAGGAGCATGCCATACAGTGTTTTGCTATGGAGCTAGGTCAGTGGTGAGGTCTTGTACAAAGGTCTATCGCTGCAGGAATGCGAAGCGGCATTTACTTATATTATGTATTTGATGATTTTAATAAAGGTTGGCTATAGCTGGCAGATATGGATTTGTTTATAATAGAACAGTCCTTCATCCAAGGGATGTGGATGACACACATGTACATGCTTTATCAAGGCATGGCTTACGTGTGGCAATTTGCTATCGAAACGTTGTGACCAGACTATTTGTGTAGTCTTGTTGTTGATCAACTTTTTAAATGATTGGAGCCTTGTTTTTGGTTCCGAATACGGATTGTGTTTACCCGTGGACTATGTTTTGTACATTTGTTTCATACGCGTATAACACCCGTACTTTTCAGAAACCTGTTCCTATAAATAACGAATTAGTAAATTGTGAATAAATTACTAAATTGAAAATTCTGCATTTACAGGTCTTGTGATAAGCAGTACTTCGAGACAGGGGGAAGGAAACCGCAGGTATAATCACGTGAACTGTGCGAGAAGATAATGCATTAAGGTTACTTTGAGTCGCGTACCCCACAACAATGTTGTACGGTCTTTTTAACGCACCCACATTTTTGAATGATTTTCAAAAGCCTGTTTCTATAAACACCGAAGTAGCTGAAATGTTTATTCTGCATTTACGGTTGCTTTGGAAACTGCAGGTGTAATCACACGAACTGCACAAGAAGCTGATGCATTAACTTTGGTATGCGAGGTTTACCCCCAGAACAATGATGAGCATAAGTATGTTGCCCGATGGACAATGTTGTACGGTTTTTTTTTTTAATATGAAAAAGGGCGACGGCCTTGAGATATCATCATCGGATTGGTCGGCCCTAGGTAATTCAGAATTGTGGCATGTCACTCATCTGCTCCCAGTGGAGTTCGAACTCAGGTCTGTATTTCAACAGTTCAGAGGTGCACCAACTGGGTTACGGGAGTTGGCGACTATGTTGTACGTTGTGTTTAACACACCCACATTTTTCAAAAGCCTGTTTCTATCTTGGGTAACTAAACTGTTAAATCTGCATTTACGGGTAACTAAACTGTTAAATCTGCATTTACGGGTAACTAAACTGTTAAATCTGCATTTACGGGTAACTAAACTGTTAAATCTACATTTACGGGTATCTAAACTGTTAAATCTGCATTTACGGGTAACTAACTGTTAAATCTGCATTTACGGCTGCCATGAGTTGTAGTACTTTGCCTGCGGGAAGGACAGCGCAGGCATAATCACACGAACTGTACAAGAAGATATTGCACCGAGGTTGCTGTGAGAATTTTGCCCCAAAATGATTGTCAAGGCAAGTACGTTTCACAAACCCAGCCAGTGCTATGAGACTGGACCCAGATATGTACACAGGTTGTCCAGGTATGTTTTGTGCATGGTAACCCTGGACCCGGACACCGGACCCTTCCGGACTGTTTCCCAGACCATTGTCTGGACCTGTCCGGACTGTCCGGTTTTCCGGACACCACCGGACACTGGACACTGCCGAACACCGGACCGTCCGGACAGGGACCAGAGGTTCGGGGATGTCCGAACCACAAAAAAAAAAAAAAAAAAAGGGGTGTGTGTGGCGGGCGGGTGGTGTTGGCAGGGACTCGCCTGTCTTGTTGCAAAATCAACAACCATGGTTAACTAGCAAACGGGCAGAGTTCCGAAGAGTGCAAAGCAGGCACAAGAAGAAAGAAACAGAGGGAAAAAAAACCAAAAAAAGTTTGAAAAAGTTTAGATAACTTAGAAGTTTGAACTTGAAGAATCTTCAGACTGGCAGCACTGTCAGTGCTCTCTCTCTCTCTCTCTCTCTCTCTCCCTCGTGCGCGCGCGCGTCAGTGGCATGTCTTGCGCAATTTAGACGGGGGTTCTGATCCGGAGTCGCCCTCTTCCTCCGACGAACAACCATCTTTCTCCTCGCCTTCGCCTTCGTCCTCCTTGCCACTGCCATCAGTCCCATCGCTGCCACCGCTCCCGTCGTGACCATCGCCATCCTCCACCTATAAGTCATGAAAGTTGCAATAATGAGAGACACAGAGAATCGCTAGCCCTCCCCTCCCCCCAGCCCAAGATCGGATGCGACGAGCGAGCAAGCGACACACACACACACACACACACACACACACACACACACACACACACACACACACACACACACACACACACACA